GGCGGCCGCGCCCGCGGGCGCTCCCGCGCGCGGGGCGGGCGCGGGGCGGGCCGGGCGGCGGGGGCCTCGTGCGAGGGCGGCGGCGGGCGGGGGAGGGCGGCCGGCGGAAGGAGGGGGGCGGAAGAGGGAGAATAGGAGGAGGGAGCGATTGAGGGAGGAGGGAGCGATTGAGGGAGGAGGGGGGGATGGGAAAGAGGAGGGCCACCGCAAGCCGAACACGCGTCAACGATGTTACCCTCCCTCCAAATTCTCAGTTCCCTCTGCATGAGCCCCTGACATAAATATCTGTGCTGCGGGAAGTGACCCACGAGAGGAGCACCGTTTAACAATCCTCACTCGTGCCATCATACGTTCCTGGGGCTCCAGGCCGCAGATCAACGCGACTGTTGCGTTCTGACAATCTGGAATCGTGCCAGAACGCCTTTCCTGGGACATCAATCCTAAATCGCCTCAGAATAGAATTTATTGGCCTACGACCATACGACTGTGTAAAACTGATACAACCATTTGAAAAATCATGTGCGTGCCGCGGGGGCGAGATCGACATGTTGCTAGGGAGCTGCTCTCCATCCTCGGAAGTGCTCCAAGCTTGTAAAACGAGTGTGCGTGGCGCTCGAGCGAGAACCACATGTCTAAACAGAGACGGCCTCCCATGCGTGGATTTGTTTTGCAAACTTTCCGAATGCGCGCGGCGCTGGGGCGAGAACCGCATTTGGACCCCCACGCCCTGTATCCGTGAAGCTGTTGCAAACTTCGAGAACGAATGTGAATACGGCCCGCCATCCAGCCGTGAAATGTTGAACATGTCAAGCTTCAGGGTTATACAAAGACAAAGAAATCTAAGGCTAACCGCCCAGGCCCGCCCTACCGACACGTCTGGGGGTGCGACAGGGAGGAGTCATCCGACCAGCCCTCTGGGCGCAGGGGGAGGAGGATGGACGGGGGATGAGGGGAAGATGGACGGGGGAGGAGGCGGGAGAGGAGAGGATGGAGGGAGGGGGGCAGGAGAGGAGGCGGGAGGGACGATGGAGGGGAAGAGGTAGAAAGGACGGGGGGAGGAGGACTGTTTGGGAAAGGTTTGGGGTGGTGGTGATTCGAGGGGAGGTCCTCCGTTATCTTCCTCCCTCCCCCCCCCCCCCTGCTCGTGCGAACCTTCTTGCGCGGGACGGTGGGGGGGAGGGAGGAAGAGCGGGAGGCAGGGAGGGGATGATGATTACCAGTTTGAGGAAAGGGAGGAGGGAGGAGGAAAAGGAGGAGAGAGGACAGCGGAGGATGACACTGGTGGAGGAGGAAGAACGAATTAGTGTGTTCTGGGGATTTCCAGGGTGCTTGAGGCGGTTCTTCTTCCTATTCAGGGTTGCGGGGCATGATAGCGGCAGTGGTTGTGTCGCACACGAGGATCGAGTCGCGAGCATAATCACAACTAGCTGACAGCAAGACATCCCGCCAGAAAGCCAGGAAAATGAGAGGGGGAATGCGGAAATACGATGGCGGCGAGGAGTGCCAGCATCATAGGAGCGCAAAACATCCCTGACACGATGAATATACACTTCCAATGCAACACGGTCCAAGAGCAAGTCAACCAACGAGCATGAAGCAGAACCAGAGGGTTTGCTCCAGAAGCTTGGACAAACGCACTGGCAAGCGAGGCGCCTCGATCATCCTGGTAATACACGCTGGCGCTCCAATACTGCGCGGGGACCTCAGGGTGTCCCTGCTCACACCGATCTTGCAGCCACGAGGGCGACCAGCCCTGATCTGCCGAAGGGAGAGGATTTGGTCAGATTAGTCTTGCCAAGCTCGGGAACGAACGACGGCGATCCGCATGCATTGCCGGTCGGCGATCGGGGCTTTGGATCCCAGTGCTGACGTTCCCACCGACATCCATGTGAGCATCCAGCCATGCGCAACATGGTGGTGTCGGTCGGCGACACCGTCCGCGCACTTTGCTGCTTCGAGTAGCGGATCGACTACAGAATTGATTTACCCCAGCCTTGAACTTCTCGTCGAGTCACACGTCGAATGTTCGTAGATCTACGAGCTCTAGGCACTTCTCATGGATTAGGCGAACAGATCAATCTTGGGGCAAGTCAACTCTGTGGTCGATCCCCTATTCGACTGCTATCGGTGGCGGCCGAGTCGACGGTGGGGTGCACCGCGAGAGAGCGTGGAGGAAGGCAGGGTGGCCCAAGCCGAAGGTAGGATGAAGATTCATTCGGATGTGGGTGCCGCGGATTCGTGTCGTGCCGCTCCTGGCGCTGGTCCCTGACACCGCGGGGATCGTTCAGCATCGAGCGATCGACCGGTTCCCAAAGCGTCAGATCTTTCAACATCGACCGATTCTGGGTCCCCAGACCCCCAACGTCATGAATTTGTCATTACTTCGACCCCTTCCCCTGGACCGGTTTTTCATCCTGAATCGTTTTTTGACGGTCCCGAGGACCGGTAAGGGCCCCCCAGAAGCCGAAAATACAGACAAACCTCCCGTCATGATGTTTTCATTACCCGAGGGGGCCGGAGTCGCTGGCGGAGTTCAACATCTTGCCGTCGCTCGGACGCCCATGTCCCGTGCACTTTTCGGTTTCGTGCGCGTTTTTTTTGCTCGATGGTCCAGGATGGTCCTCGATGGTTCTCGCCGAGAAAACATGCACACGCCCGAGCGATGCCAAGACATTGGCCGCCAGCGGCGGGGTCGCCGCCGGTCGACCCAGCGAGAACCTACCATGGATCGGGCATCTCTCAGAGCTGGCGGGTCTGAGGGACGTATCTCAGGGGGCCCACAAACACACAAATAAATACACACACACACACACATCCCAGGATTCCCAATCTTTTCACATGTTTTTTGTCTTCCCCCCCCCACTTCCCAGATTTTCGCACATTTTCCTGGGAATCGACGATTCATTGTGTCTGTGTTTGTTCCCTCCTGAGTATCAGGCGCCGCGACTGGTACAAAGCGCGCTGGAACGCTCCAAAAACGTTCTGGCACGCCCTGGAGCGATGCATCCTCATCCTAGGCTTAGGTCGGGAGTGTCCCCCTACAGGGGGATTATGGGGGAAACATGAAAAATACTGAAAAAATGCCCCCCAAATGGGCAAACATCGTCAAAAGATCGTCCCCAGACCATTTTGACTATGTTTGAAAGTTCCTCCTGTAGAGGGACGGGCCCGACTCAATCATAGGCCTGCCTTGCCACCTTTGACGTCGAGCTTTCGTGATTGAGGGCAAGCGCAAGCGCTCCCACAGGAGTCGGGCGTTGGCAAAACTGGGTTATTAGTGGAACCTGGTTCAGTGACTTGTACCGGGGGCGCCCCCCCGCCCCATTTCCACTGACCGGAACTGCCGTCACCCGAAACACACCAATCACGGCAAACCTGGTTTAAGTGAATCTGGCCCATTGAGGGGCCCCCGGGCCCTACCACTAACCGGGTCCCCTTACCCGAGGTCCTGGCTAAATACCCTGACCTTCCAGAGAGCTATTTTTTAGCACTGGAGACCTAAAAACCTAAAACAACGAGACGAAACAGCCTAAAACCAAGACGTAGAATAGCTCTGGGATAGGTTTTTAAGTCGCGTGCTATTTTTTAGCCCTCCTGGAAGGTCAGGGTACCCGAAGGAGGTGGGACTGTCCCCGCCCCGGCGAGTGCCCCTGGCCAGGAGCCCCCCTGGATGGTGCCTGCGACGCGTGGCCGCCGAGCTTCGCTCGTCGGCGACAGCTGCTGCGCTTCGCACCGGAGGAGGGCCGGTCGAGACGCCGGCGGCCTCCCCGGCGCCTCTCGCCGCTTTGGGGCATCCCGGATGTGTCTCGTCGCCACGGCTGGATCCCCTGAGATGTCGTGATTTTTTCAATGCGGGGTCCCCGGAAGCCTCGACCCGTTCCCCATAGGACCGGTTTTTTTCATCCTGAGTCCTTTTTTGACGGTCCCGAGGGCCGGTAAGGGCCCCTGGAGGCCGAAAGCTGTAACAAAAACCCTCCGCCGTGATGTTTTCAATGCGTTGGATCTCTGGGTACGCCTCGAGGAGCGGGTCCGCATGGGCCCCGGGAGCTGCCCGGGGACCGACTGCGCGCGGAGCCGGCCCGCGCGGGGAGGGCCGCCCCTGTCTCGACGGGCCCTGCACCGATCAGACTCCTCCGTGGCCGACCAGTGGTCCTCCCTCCTCCCTTCTCCCTCCTCCTCCTCCTCCTCCCCTCCTCCCTCCCTCCTCCTCCCTCCTCCTCCTCCCTCCCTCCTCCCCTCCTCCCTCCTCCCTCCTCCCTCTCCCTCCTCCTCCTCCCTCCTCCCTCCCTCCTCCCTCCTCCCCTTCCTCTCTCTCTGAGGGGGCGCGAAGCCCCCAGAACTCCGGCGTCGTGATGTCCCCGTCGGTCTCGTCCCCTCCACGAGGACGTATGTTGCATCTGCCCCCCAGACCGAATTCGAACCGCCCTGGGGCCCGGCGGGGCCCCCCCGAGCCCGAACATGGGCCAGCATCGCGACGTCTCTGCAGCGCAAGGGCCCCGCAGACCTTCGACTTTACTATGTTGTCCCACCGTGCTCCCATTGGCCAAACGTCTCGACCCCTGCCCCAGCACTGATTTTTGCATCCTGGGCTGTTCTTGTTGATGGCCCTGGGACACGGCGAGGGCCCCCGAGCAAGGAGGTCTGGGTCGAGGTCTGGGGCTGCTGCAGCAGACACACATATAAAAAAGGGCTGCGCGCGGTAAGGATGCAAGGGCCTCGGAAGGCCACGTTGACGTCTTTCGAACGTGGCTGGCCAGCGAAAGCCGCCCAGGATGGGCCGAGGGGGCAAGGATGCAAGAGCAACCTTGGAAAATTGCACATCCTTGCTTTGCGCTTTGACTTGAAGGGCCCCCAGGACACACAAATAAATACACACAAATAAAAATATTCCCCATATTTTCCCATATTTTCTGGGTTTCTGTCTTCCCCCCCACTTCCCATATTTTCCCATATTTTCCTGGGAGTCGACGATTAATTGTGTCTGTGTGTTTCTTTCCCTC